CCTATTTGGATAACTTTTTCAAGCTTGATTTTTTAATTGACCTAAAAAATGAGCCAGTTGGATAATGAGATGACTTTGTATATGGGCTTAAACAAGTAGTTAATATCATATATATACTGGTTACTCCTTGTAGGGGTGGGCATAAAAACCGCAAAACCGCAAAACCGTATCGAACCGTAAGAAAAAAAACCGAAAAAAACTGTGTTGACCGGAAAAGTCAACTTTGAGTGAAAAACCGAACCGAACCGTTCAAACCGGTTCCGGTTCCGGTTTCGAATGACCAAGAAACGGTCGAACCGAACCGAACCGTTTTATTAATAATAAATAAATAAATTATATATACACACATGTCATGGTATAATAGGTTGAAAAATTGTATACAGGAGCTGCTGCTTCTTGCTTGCTCTCTAAAGTCTGAAAACCTGCAATTTGTTTCATCATTTTTTTGTTTGTTGACTGATTGACCAGTGCATATGTATTTTAGTTGTCTCTTTTTGTTGACTTGGTGCCACTACCAAAGACATTTGCATTTAAAAAGATGTGTTGTATGCAACTTTATGTAATCAGTTTTAGAAGATGTATTTGAATGCATAATGATTTGGTGTTCAAATAATTTATTATTAGGAACTGTAAACCGGCAAGAACCGAATCGGAACCGGTGTAGACCGAACCGTAATGTTCTAGTCATAAATTTAAGTGGAACCGCACCGAATCGAACCGTTAATATATTTCGGTTCCGATTCCAGTTTAGGGGTGGAACCGCACCGAACCGCATCGTGCCCACCCCTAACTCCTTGAACACTCCTATATATATATATATATATTAGGGTACAATTTCTCATATGGTTTTGAATAAACAAAGGGAATATGGGCTTAAACAAGTAGTTAGTATCATATTAATATATATATATATATATATGTATACGTATATACTGGTTACTCCTTGAACACTCCTATATATATTAGGGTACAATTTCTCGTATGGTTTTGAATAAACAAAGGGAAGACATTTGAGAATACTGAATAGGAGTAAGAGCATGTTTACTTCTTCTTTAAAGGCCATCTATTTGAGGGGTGTGGTGCCTTTCAATATTTTTATATTTTTTCAATATATAGAATTATGACTCCTCGTATTGATATGGGAAAATATTGCAATATATATAGAATTACATTCCTAAATTACATGCTACAATCACAGAGATCGATTCAAGATTAATTAGTTCTAATCTAACACCATACTTTTCAAACACACTAATTACAATTGCAATGTATATTGTCCTTCAGCTTTACGGATCCATGTGGTACTTTTTGGCTGTGAATCGAGAGATCAAATGTTGGCTGGAGCATATCTGTAAACATGAAAAAATATGCGACCTTGGCACAGTTGATTATTCCTTCCATTGTGGATATTCTTCTCAGAAAAACAATGAGATGATCAGTATCCCAGGTTTAAAACAATCATGCCTTGTAGAACTTCCAAAAAATATGACATCGTTCCCTTTCGATTATGGTATATATCTGTCTGCTCTCCAATCTAATATGACAACGTCAAGAGATCTTTCAAGAAAGATCTTGCACTGTTTTTGGTGCGGCCTGCGAAATTTGAGGTTTGTATTTGTATGACTTTTTCATGTTTGATCACCTATAAATTAATATGCATATTTATGTTGTAAACTCATAATGTCGTGTTTATCTATTTAACCCTCTCAACAATGTCGTCTTTGATGATATCCTTCCATTTCATATTTTTGCAGTTCTTTTGGTTCAAACCTTCAGACCAGTTTCTACGCGGCCGAAATCATCTTTTCAGTTATGATCGCTATAAGTGGCTTGGCACTATTTTTAGTCTATCTTAATTCAAGGGTGCAACAGGTTGGTGCGGTGATCAGTACTCTGTTAAGCAAATTTTTTGTCAATAATTAAGCTTAAAGGCTTAAAGCTCCTCCATGCAATTTTTTTGTGTATTCATGCACGTACGTATATTTCTAGATTTAATGAAATCGTCATGAAATTGCTTTATAGAGTTGGTAAACATGCAGGGGTTAGAAAAAATGGCCGACCATCGTAGATTGAGACAGAAGATGAAAAAGATATATCCAAGCTTAATAAAAAAAATACGTGACAAGAGCCCGCACCGCATGAATTCACTGCAGAAGTATGTAACAAGAAATCTTTTAATGTAACAGTCACTAAAGATAATATTCGTCATGTGTACGTAATTAATTGTATCTAATTAAACATTGGTATGCAGGTTCCAATTCTTGGGAGAATATGTGAAAAAGGGTTGAAAGAAATATCTGAGCATCTAAAGCCGAACATGTATACTAGGGATGAGTATATTATTCGAAAGGGTGAACCGTTGCGGAAGATGCTGTTCATCGGGCAAGGCACTGCTTTGAGCTACACAACTACTGAAGGCGCAACAACAAGTGTTTACAAATGCCTTGAGAAAAATGATTTCTATGGAGAAGAACTTGTAATTTGGGCATTGAAATCTGCCGCATTTTCTGAGTTGCCTATCTGCACTACAACCCTTGTGTCCCAATCAAAAGTTGAAGCATTTTCAATCACTGCAAACCACTTGAAGTCTGTAGTCGCTGAGTTTTGGTGGCACTTTAGATGGGAGCTTCCTCCCTCTCGGTTGGAGTATTTTGCAGCTTCTTCCACACAAGCAGCCTGGCGCCGCCACCATGCAAAAAAGCTAGAGATCAGCTGGTTGGGACAAATAATTAGTAGATTAGTACAAGCATTTTGGAGCATCGCCTTGGTGTGTGTGTGTTTTTGAGTTGGTATCGCTTTTGTGTGTGTGTGTGTGTGTGTGTGTGTTTTGAATTGGTATTGCTTTGGTTCCTCTTTATGTTGCTTTACTCTCTTTTGGCCTTGGTTTCCCTTCAATGCGGTGATGTGTCCTGCGTTTTGGTGTGTGGTATGAAAAGTGTGTAATCATTGACATGCATGAGAACGATCTTTTGAATTAAAAGCTCAAATTATGGATCATCTTCTTCAAATTCAACATGGAGTGGCGGAACAGTTTGTGTCCATTGATATTTGTAGCACAATGTGAGTAGTCGTGCTGGTATTAATGTCGTAGTTGTCTAAGGTCACCGTTGAAGAATTGTGTTGGAGAAGCAATCAGTTGGTGCTATGGTAACTCATTTTATTCTGTGGTCACATTTTATTTGATTTCCATAGTTGTTTTCTAAGTTGGGTCTTGGAAATTTGGTGTCACTCATTGGATCGTTTTCACGTTTGGGTTTTGGATTTGGGTTATTTTTTTGCATGATCTTATAATGTTTTGAATAAAACATCACATCCAAGAAAAGTGAAATTTAATTGTATGATATGATCAATATTGTTCAACGCGCTCTAAATTGCGCACTTAACTCAATCTTCAAGACATGTTCGTTTTGAACATTGCTTGCCTTGTTACATGAAAGGATGAGTCTTTCTTTTGTGCCTACAAATCACAGTTTGACACTTATGTTACATACTACTAAAAAGTTAGTTTAGAGCAGTGTGCTATCTCTCCACTTACTTTAGAATAGACTATGGCTCAAATCACGGAAAGAAAAGGTTTTGTATTCATGTCAACTGTGATTTGCATGTGAGGAGAAACACAAGTTGACCATGTTACCCTAGATTAGATTCTCTTGTTCATGGTTTGATTCTGATGCAGATTTTGGAGTTGTTGGTGTCCACCATGTCGGATTGTTTTGGTTAAACCTTGAAAAATCTCTCAGCTTTTACCAGAACATTTTAGGTAAAATTATCAAATTCTTCCCTTTACTTATACACATGTGTAACTGTCTTTAGTGTGAATTATTATATAATCCAACACAGTTGACCGAAAATACAAAGATGAAATCAAATAACATAAACGCCAGGTAAAGTAGTAGTGACCGCCTTACTTCACTTGAGATTGAATTTCATTCTTCGTAAATTGAAGTAATTTAAAATATAAGTTTGCTGATCATAATTGTAAAATATTAAATAGAAATAAAAATATATAGTGACAAACTAAAGCATGATCTAATTTGCTGGTCTCCCACAATTTCCCCTTAGGTTTTTGAGTTTTGCATTGTTTTATTAGCAGCTTGACTTACATGTCAACAACCTTTATAGTCCTCTTCCATTTGGAATTAGGATAATACTATTTACACTCATTTTTAGTTCTCATGCACTTTGTTAACTTATATTATTGATCTATTACAATTTATTCAATCCGACGATTGAAAATTGAAAAAAGTATGCGAAAAGTAAAAGTAAATATGTTGACATCACTACCTGAAATAATTGAATTTTACTTTATTGGTGATATCTAGTTTATAATTAAAATATCCATATATATATATATATTAATATTTATGGTTGATCAAGTGATTGAAAAGGCAGCTCTTAGATTGTTATAATTATTTTTTAATGGCCAGTCCAATTTTATTCATAGTGGCCCAATGTAAATATGAACATGAGATCTTATTGTGTCCTGGTGAGTGAGATCGAGACATAAAAACATAATTCTCGTGACTCATAAGTGATCAATACAATCCATAGCATGTTTAGTTTAAAAGTGAGTTATACTATAAGCACAAGAAGAATACCTAGACCTCAAGAAGATTTGTGTTTTCACTAAAAATAGATTATATTATTTGTCTTTAAGCACAAAGTACAATGATAGCGTTATTTTTAATATAATAGATATAGTTTGTAAGGAGAGTAAATTGATGTTTGACTCATTAAACTATTACTCCAGTTGAAATTGATTTTCAGAAATATTTTTTAGTAAATTAACCCTTAAAATATTTAAAATAAGCAAATTAACTCCTCACCATCAACCATAAGATCTGGCAAGAAGTGTATACAACAGAATTAATTTCCAAATTTTATTAGAGCCAAATTTAGAAATTAAAAGCTACAATATGTGAAAAACAATTCGTTGTGGGGCAAATGCGTGAAATAAAATATCTCACATCTACATCAAATAATTTTGCACATTTTAGAAAACCCCAAAACATCAAGTAATGGCGCTTGATTTCTCTCATATTTTCTAATTTATTATTTTATATTACTATATCTGCAGGAACTGACACAAACCCAGATGTGCAGCTGCTCTTCCATGGCGTCCCTTCTCATCCCACCACCCACTCTTCCTCTCCAACTCAAGGTTATTTTATCCTTTCCCCTTTATTTTATGATTTTATTTTAATTTCTTTAATTTTGGATTTTATTTATGAAAGGTTTAACGAAATATTTTCGGTACTGTTCATTTTTAACGAAAATAACATTTTTATTATAAGAAATCACTCCTGATACTATTCACTTGTAACATCTTTTTTCATTTCGATTAAAATTCAAAATTTTCAAACTATTTTCATTAGTTTTTCTTTTATTTATTTGATTGATTGCAGGAGGATGCGGTTAGAGTCAGCATTGTGCTTACGAACCCATCGTCTAAAATTGACCGGACCGATCTGAGAAGTTGCAGACGTCACGGACGGTGTTTTGACACGAAAGCTAAGGTGACCGTTGAAGAAGATGTACTGGAGAAACAATCAGTTGGTGCTCAGGACAAAATTGGTAACTCATTATATTCTGTGGTCACTTTTTATTTGATTTTCACTAATTGTTTTCTAAGTTGGGTCTTCGAAACTAGAAATGTTTAGTTGTGATGGAAATATGGATGATACATTACATGTTTTTATGCAAGTGGTAGAAAATTTTAATTTTTAAGTTATTAACTTTTTAACACACATAATCCACCATTTATATAGGGATACGTGGTGTACCACTTCGTGTGATGGTCACACTAAAAAATCTCTCTTTCGAAACGAAGTAGGATTCTTTTATGTCCAAATCTCTTCCTGCCCTCTTACATACACGAAATATGATTCTTTCTCACTTTCTCTGTCCTTTTCTATTAAAAAATTAACATAAGATGTTTATGTAGCTTAATCGTGACTATTTAAATATAAGAGGAGGGGAGTGAAATTTGAAGAGAAGAAAATCCTGCTCCTTTGAGAATTTTGTGATTTACATGCGAGGAGAAACGCAAGTTGACCATGTTAACCTAGATTCTCTTGTTCATCTTTTTAATCTGATGCAGATTTTGGAGTTCTTAGCGTCCACCATGTCGGATTGTTGTGTGAAAACCTTGAAAGATCTCTCAGCTTTTACCAGAACATTTTAGGTAAAATTATCGAATTCCTCATCTTTTACTTGCATTTTAAAACTACGTAACAAATTTGATGGATCAAAAAATAGGTCTTGAAATAAATGAGGCTAGGCCACATGACAAGCTCCCCTTCAGAGGTGCCTGGTTATGGGTTGGTTCAGAGATGATTCATCTCATGGAACTTCCAAATCCCGACCCTTTACCCGGAAGACCCGCCCATGGAGGTCGCGACCGCCATGCTTGTATTGCAATCAAGGACGTGTCGAAGCTCAAAGCAATCCTCGACGACGCTGGCAAGCTTATCTTTTTCTCATCTGCAGTTCATTTCATTTTCGATAACTTCTGGAACGGATGTTTGATCAATGGAAGGAATGTGGACGGCTTACATGGCTGTTTTCGGCTGCAGGTATTACCTACACGCTTAGCAAGTCCGGGAGGCCCGCGATTTTTACACGAGACCCGGACGCAAATGCTCTGGAGTTTACTCAAGTTTGATAGCTGAGAGTTGCAGGCTTAACCTTTATGTATCGATCCCGTCGTGGTTACATTATGTTTAGACACACTAATTGAGATTAGTAGAGTTTTGTACATGTTATACGTAAAACGATCATTGTTATATGGGCTGCTGGTGTAAAGAGCTTCATTATATCATATTATGATAAATTGTTAATTTGGATAATCTCCGAACCTCATTGTCCAAAGCCTAAGGACTAAGAAATCCGAACTGTTCAAAAAAGAGAGATCTATGCCCTTAGTTTGTGTAAAATGGATCAGCGGAATGAGTTAATGAAAACCGTCAGATTCAATTTGAATGGTTCGGATTTCTTGGTCCTTGAACTCCTAACAGTAAGACCTGAAGACTCTCTGTCCCCTTTTTCCTACTTCAAAGAGGAGATAAATGATGCTGCCGGTCGTCGGGGTCTTGGAAGGGGCGGCATCAGATGTCCGTCGACTTCCAAGACAGTTTTGGGTGTCGTCACCCGTGGGGTTTCACGACAGACGGGTATTCCAAGAGAGACGTCAACAGATTTCAGAGAAACTAATTTGGACCAATTTACGGTTATATTTATTCTTCTCTAGCATCTAATTACAACTGAATAAATCAGAAACAGGTCCTATTACACTCAGTGACTCAAGCCAACACCTAATACAATTATTTTATATACAATGTTTTTTTTGGGTGCGGAGCTCAAAAATAACATTTTGGGCGCCAGGATAAACGCTTTTAATCACTTCATCTGCAAGATCCTTGCCTAATCTTATTTAGATAGTTAAGTCAAACCTGACCTCCATTCCTGTATGGCAGAACGCAATGTATGGTTTGGAGTCAACACAAAATTGTTTAGTCTAAGCCTTGTCAATGGGGACACTTTGTGTTTCTTAATCCATGCTTTGATCGCTCGATACTCATATGTAAAACCGTCTGCAGCTACGTGTGGATCCTCCATGATTTCCTGCATTATGCACAATATGATGCACGAAGTGAATCAAACGAAAAGAAAATCTGAAATCTGTTTTCACGTATCATTTTTTTGTGTTAACCAAACTACTTTACCTGAAGTATTGGACAAAAGAAGTGGTTTGGTGCATTGATAGGGTTTCTATCAAACTTCAAGCTAGAATCTGCAAGATTAGCGAGTCGTTTGAGAACCGGCAAAACTTCAGTTTCAAGATCTGGTCTATCCCTGCATCTAAGTTGGGAACACCTTAGTGCAACTCGAGCCAACTCCTCTGCTTCTGCAAGTGGCCAATCTGCAACTGACTTGTCCAAGATTTCAGCAAAAGACCCACTTGCAATTGCATTCTCCGTAACAAATATAAGCCGCTTTGGATGGCGACCTGTCAGTACTTGAAGGATTATGACACCAAATGCATACAAATCTGATTTGGGCCGGACAGTGCCAGTTCTTTGATACTCTGGATCCATATAAAAGAGTGTACCAGCGAGAATTGATTCTCTGTACTCAGTGATGTTGTCAGGCACGACGTTTGAAATGAGTTTAGCCAGCCCAACATCCCCTATTTTGCTCATGTAGTTTCTGTCTAATAAGATGTTTCCCGGCTTTAGATCTCGATGCACAATAGGATCCAGCTTAGAGTTGTGTAAGAATGCAAGCCCACAAGCTACTTCAAAAACTATATGGAACCGAATAGTCCAAGGGAGTGGCGGTTTTCCATTTTGGCAGTAGACATAATCTTCCAAGCTTCCATTTTCCAAGTATTCATAGACCAGGCAACCAATCTCAGGACAAGCACCTAGCAGCAAAACTATATTCGGATGGTGTAGCTGACTAAGAATTTCAACCTGCAAAATTAGGCAGGGACCATAATATAAGAAATACATCGTGAAAGCAGCTACAAAGTTTGATCTCATGATATATTCAGCATCAGCAATAGGTTGGTCACTCTGCATGAGAAAAATTATCGATAGGAACTAATTCTATGACTCAGGGTCGAATGGTATGAACGGAAAGGAGCCATAAGATAAGTTTAAAAGCAACGAGAAAGCATCAATGACACTAAACCAATGCAATCAAATAGGTTCAGAAACATTACTCAATTATCTGCAACGCTTATATATACCTCTTTCAGAAACTCCTCTTTCTTATCAACTGCATCAGGTCGAAGAACCTTAACAGCTACCGGGGTGCGATCAAGACTGCATTTGTAAACTTTTCCATATCCTCCCTCACCAATCACATTAGCCTCTGAGAAGAAACTCGTTGCTACCTCTATTTCATTCCTACTGTATCTCCTATACCTCCTGTCACTTGAGAAGAGTGCATCAACTAATTTATTTTTCTCTGAGGACTCTTTCATGGCAGTCAGCTCGGCCATTTGCCTCTCATAAGCCTCTTTAGCAAGCAGAACTTTGGCCTCCTCAATCTCCTTCAGTGCCTCCAAATGCTTTGCTTTCTCTTCCGCAGCAATTTTTCTCAACATTTCTTCACTTTCAAGGGCAGCATTCACTCTTTTTGTTTCATCAAGGCATTCAGAAGAAAGTAATTGCACCTGAAAATATAAACAACAAAGAGAAAACGGAAGGTCACTAAATAAAATCTTCTGTCCTTGGTCGGCTCAAGTTCATATTTAGTTTCAATTGCTTGACTTTTATCATGTTTGCAGAAGTTTGGAACACCTCATAACCAAACTCTTACCTTGCTTTGGGCATGGACCAGCTCTTCACAAGCTTGTTTGTACATGGCAATAGTATTTTGCAATTCCAGACGCAACTGTTCTACCTGCGTCTGCACATTTGACTGCACAACAAAAGTTCCAATCAAAAGTCAAAACTCAACCAAGCATCATCCAAGGATGACAGATATAGCTGTAAAATTCTAAAAGCAGAACTAGGCAGTTGGTAAAAATGCTCAGTGAAAATCACCAGCTCAGTAATTGAAGAACCCGAGGAACTTCGATCCTTAAAAGAACTAATATCCAGGTTATCTCCCAAGTTTTGATGATTCCTTTCCTGATCTACACTAACATTTGAGGAAATGCTCATACGCGTGAATGCTTCAGAACTTAGGTAACTAAGGTCTGACATTGTAGATGCTCCATAAGCTTCATGAGATCTGGTTTCTACAAAGGAAGAATGAACCCTGCTTATCTGTTTATTGATATCACTTGAACTTCCCTTTCGGTTTTTTATAGTAGACATCTGGCCAGCAGATCTAGTCTCTGAGTTGAGAAAAGAAACAGTTAAGGTCATCATATACGTATCAACTAAAAAAAGCACTTGTAAGTTGTAACATACCACAAGCAGAAGAAGGATTATCTGATTTTGTGATGATTCTATGTTTGGAAATGGAATAAACTTCGCAAGTGTCGGGAGCACCTCTCAGCACAATTGGTGATACACCCTGTCCTTTCAGTTTCCTAAACAAGTTATCACAAGAAACTTAGTCTTTAAATCATTAAACAATGCAACATTCTAATCGAAGACATTAGTTGGAGAAAAATTAATACTCAAGAAAAGAAATGACAAATAGATCGATTCATAAAGTAGAGAAAGAGAAAAAGAGAGAAAAGAAACGACAAAGATAAAGTGTGAATTTGTACGGTTAAACACTTCTACCGGAGGTAATTTCAAAATTCATAATCATGACCTCCTAACACATTCGCCACATAAACGCTAACACAGAAGGAAATCAAGACAAGAACGCCCCAATTCACAGAATGTGAAAGATAATACATTATCACGATTCACGAAATATCAAACTGAGTAATTTCAACTAAAGAAAGCTCCCAACAGTAAATTCGCAACACTTTCAATAGGAATGCAGTGACATTAAATTTGAAAAGTTTTATCACCATACATACCTGGTAACGTAATTTGACGAGTAGGCGCCGAGCACTAAACAATCGATCCCTGATTCAGATATGAACCTTAGAATCCCATTTGCAGGATCATCATCCTCTAACACCAATGTTTCGACCTACAAAAGTTACGGGTTCTGAGTTAGGACACACAGTCATATTATCAGACTGTAAATTTGAAGTCTTTACTTTGTTTACAAATCAAAACACGAGCATTGATGTATGTCAATTTAAAAATTCCTTACTTCTGTCGAAATTCTAAGTTTATTTCCTCCATTAAAACGCGGGGTCTTTTTTTTTTTTTGCGTGGATTGACTAAATTTATGACACTTCGTAGGTTTATTTCAGCAAAAATTTCAAAGATAAAGACAGAAGCTCACCTTCTGATTATTTTTGCATTTCTTCTTAAACGGAATAAAAACTTCCTCAAACTTTTGTTTCTGGTCCTTCACATACGTTGCCACCAAATTTGCATCCAGCTCTGTGATCGGGATGTGATCTCCTGCTGCCGGAACCACAGTTACCAACCACCAAAACAAACAAAAAAATCAAAACTTGACTCGCAGAGCAAACCATAACGCTCAGCTCCGTTTGGTCATCGGAAAATAGAGTTCAGAAAATTACGTTCGCTGCTCCAACTACTTCAGTAGCTGTTTGATTCTCGAGAAGAGATTTTTTTTTTTTTTTTTTCGAACTGCGAATTCAATTTTCCGTTATTTTCCCGGCAACCAAACAGAGCGGGGTGGGCCAACGGTCAGAGATTCAGTTGCAGGGAAAGAATCAAAGAAATAGGAAATACGTACATGGAGTTGGGATTGAGTTGATTTTGGGGATGACGTGGACTAAAACGAAGCGATCTGCCGTGGGTAAGAGGTTCTCCGCAGCCCAATTCACGGCGCGTCGGCTTCCCGGGCTCCCGCCGCTGTTAACCGCCACGGCCACGGACGACATCGCCACCGTAGCAGAGCAACTGCCGCCCGCGCTACACGAGATTCAGCCGCCTTTTCGTCTTTGGGTCAAAGTCGCCCTTGGTTCTCTTGTGATGATTAGGTGCAAAACGTATCAAATTAAGGGTGCTTGGTAAATTTATTCAAAATATTAAACGTACCGCGTTTGTTTTCTTTTATTTAAATAATTATTAGGTAACGGCGATGAATGTGAGAGGAATCTATATTGATTGATGTTTTTAGGTCGTGGAATCTTTATTTATTGAAAATTTTAACGAAAAGCTCGTGCTATTGTTTATTTTAACGAAAATCATATTTTTATACTAAAAAGTTAATTTTGGTACTATTCATTTTAACATTTATTTTGTCTTTATCGTTAAAACTCAAAATTTTCCAATATGTTTCATTAGTTTTTCTTTATTTATTAATGTATTTAGTTTTATGATAATTTAACCTGATATGTAGTGATTTACGTTACGTTACATAATAGATTCATAATGTAATGCTATATCGGCTATTGTCATATAGAGGAGTTGAACTTGGCATTATTTCTGTACAAATTAAGATGAATATTACTAAATTATAATATTTGTGCGTAACTATAGTGTGATAAAGAGTTGAAAAAGAAGTTAATTGCAAGCAAAACATGAACGTTGTGAGAAAATTGGTGAAGCATTTTTAGCGCCCAAGGGACGTGTAGCCTGTAGAGCAGCAAACAATTAACCACATATACACATACATAGTTTTTAGAAGGAATCTCTAATTTTCTTAAATAAAGATTAGCTGTAGAGCTCACATTACATTGAATTCCAACAATTCCAACGATTCAAAATGTTTATTTTTTAAGATGCATTTCATAAATCATCCATGCAATATATTAGTTAAATTAAAAATATCTGAGGCATCTAATTGAGTTTAAAGAATGACGAACGCTATGTTCGAAATGTTAACGCAAGATATTTTCTGACCCGGACATGCCTAAAGGAACATAAACCTAAAAGAACACCAGCCCAAAGGAAAGTTAAGGTCCAATTAGTGTGGGAAGATGAAGTCGGCGCTTTAAGACCATCCCTAACCGAGGAGGGCCAAAGGGCTAGTTTTAGCTCTCTGGCCCTCCAAGAAATTAATATTTTAAAGAACAGTGCAAGATCATATTTCTTACCATCTCCAACCGAAGGCCAAAGGGCAAAACATAATTTATTATTTAAATTTAAAAACTACAATGGATATTTAAAAACTACAACTTAAATTTAAAAACTACAAATTAAATTTAAAAACTACAAAAATTTAAATTCATAGGAAAAAATGTTGTTTAAGTTTCATGTTTTTAAATGTTGTTTAATGTTATTTAATGTTGTTTCATGTTACTTAATTTAATTTAATGTTATTTAATGACTTAGGAAGTTATAGGAAAAAAATAAAACTTAAAAAATTAAAAATTAAAAATTTTGTAAAAAAAAAAAAAAAAAAGGTCTAGTGGACTTTAGCTAGCTAGCCGTTGCAATTTGAATTTTGGTCTGGCCCAGGGGCTGCCTGGCTGCTTTGGGCCGGGCAGTTGGCCCTTTGGCCTAGCCCTCGGTTGGAGACGTTTTCGGGCTATTTTCGATCATCTGATCCTCTGGACCATTCGGTTGGAGATGGTCTAAGGAACCCATGGCCTTTAAGTGTCCAATTAGCAATCAAGTCAAGCACCATAAAGTGTTTTCCAAGCACAAAATGGCAAGATGGCCCACTGACAACTTTAAGGCACAAGAGCCTAGGAGTAGAAAGAGCAGCCTTACTCAGATGTCAATTTTAAGCCACTTGACGACTAAACGAGAGGACCAAGGTCTACAAAGACACATAAAGGTTGATAACAAGGCCACTGGGATATGAGTTCCCACCAACTCCTGGACCGAGTAAGGCACTTGATCGCGTTGTTCAAGAAAGAACACAAGTGGACTTGTGCAAGTGTCACCGCATTGCCACATGTCAGCCAAATAATGAAAGGACCGTTAACATATGTCTCATTTGTGTGTTTGGTGCATTAAATACAAAGGAAGTGATACACTTGAGTCCATAAGCTGAAAACTCAGAAAATGGCCTATATAAGGAGGATGAGTACTCCTTAAAAGGGGTCAGACTAATTGAGAGAGAAATTATACTACACCAGCCAAGCGATATTTGTAACGTTATTCTCGATTTATAAAAGAGACCCAGTTGATGTAGCCCAATTTTCATATGTACAGTTAAATCCTGTGCATATTCCTATTTGTATTCAAAGCCTAAATTCATTAAAGTAACACTTGACCCATTCAATCTTGGTTAGCCTCACCAATTTTGGCGTTAAAACTAAGAAATATTGAAATTTCATCGTAGCAATTAAATAGACAAATAGTTTCAGATTGAAATGAATTTGCAATGATGTTCAATGAATTAAGAATTACAAAATAAATGGTTTGGATTATTGAAGTTCGTTGTGGAAAAAAATGGAGATCCCTTCCCTTAAAGGGTATATATGTATATGTATATGTATATATATGAGAAGTTTTCATGTGTGCTTCGAATACAAGGTGATACACTAAAACGTGTAATCATATAAGTGGACAACATGACGGATATATTCCACTTTAGGATTTATTTTCTAATATCACTTTACTTATATTATGGCACATGATGTATTATCTTAAACCGAATACACTGAAAAATTTATCTATAAATAGGCAGGGGCAGATCTATTAAGGGACTTGGGTGGTCTCGAGACCACCTAAAAACCTGGATAAGTGGTTGTGAGGACCACCAAGTCTGGAAATATGGTGGAGGAGTAGCAGCGGCGCTACATTGTTCTGATATTCTGCAAAGTTGTAAATCAGAGGGAGAAGAAGACTAAAATTTTCTTGAGATGAAACGGTGTGTTTTGGCCAAGCCAAAAGGAAAAGAGAAGTGGTGTGTCAAGGCCGAATCATCTATATAACTATATCTTCTATATATAAAGTGAAGTGAAAAGCCCAGACAGGTGAAACTTTCCAAAATACTAAAGATGCCCATTTATTTTCTTTACAACCAAAATTCAGAAAATTCAAAAAACGAGAACAAGCTGGTAAAAAATCATGACTCAACAAAAAACTGTATTGGAAAACAAAATAAATTAAAAAAAGAAAAAAAGAAAAGAAGGAGACGTGATGAAGTTATGCAGACTTGCAGTTACAAAACTCAAAGGAAAATTAAAAAAGAATAACGTGGGAGATAGGATTCCCACGTTTCGTTCAATATTACAACTGCTACCAACAATTGCTGTTCAGTTTTCAGACTCCCATACTCCAACCTTTTATCATCACTTTCTCCGCTGCATGAGTTCATTTCGATTTGTGATTACAGAAAAGAAAAACCAACACTTTTAAGCGGTTAATTGCAGTTTAATTTGCATTCATATTCATATTTATGTTTTTTTTTTCCTTTTAGTTTGCCTTTGATTTTCTTTGACAGGGAAGAGTTCATTGAAATTTGGTGTCGGTTTCCATTGGTTAATTGGACATGTAAGTATTTTTATTTTTTATTTCGATGCTTGCAGGGTGAAGGGCAATAAACCCAAGGAGAATAGGTGTAGATTTGAATCAGACCGTCAAATTGTTTAAGGCTACAAGTGTGGTACAACAAACTCAGATGAAAGTCAAGGTTTCTCAATAGGAATTCGACAAAAGCTTTGCCATGGAGAAGTAATATGCACTTTTACGCTTTATTATTTGGGAAAACGGATTCTCCGAATCCCTTCTAACTAATCCTCCTCATCAAATAATTTAGACTCTTGAAATTTAATCAAACAGTTAAAATTATTATAACTTTTAGAGTGCGCTTCTGTTTCTAACCGTTTGGTCAAATTTCAAGAGTTCGGATTATTTGATGAAGAAGATTACGTTGAAGAAATCTGGAGATGATCATTTTCCATTATTTGGTAGGCTTCAGATTGTTGTACTGCATAATTTCATTTTTACTATGTACGATTAGAATCAAGTCACAGTCAATTGTAGTGGTTTGATTGTGGTTTTTGTTGGGCTTTCATTTTTTATTTTTGTTCGCAGGATTTTAAGGACTTCGCTCATGAAATTTTATCCCTTTCCTACAGCCAATTCGTGAAGGCCCTTTTCAAATTTAGGTTTTGCATATATTCTCTCGTAAGATTTGATTCTTTGTGTTTTTGGCTTATTTTTTTTGTATGATTTCTCAAACAATTGGAGAGTGTATTATTTTCGCTTTGTTTTATGTGTTTATTTGGTTCTACTCTAGATTTTTTTATCTATGCCTTGAGTTTTGAATTCTTTATCTTTTTATCTTTTGTAGTGCTCCAGGTAAATGGCAAGAATTAATCAATTATGCCACATCATTTTAATTTCCTGCGAAAAATATTCCCTTATAGATAATTGTGTTTGAGTGATTAAATATGCACATTGTGAGTTCTTTAAGTTTGGTTTCGTATTTACCGAGAGAAAAACACGAAATGGGAATTTATTAAAAAACACCTAAATTCGAATCTATATGGAATGGATTCATGTAGAATTGATTCATTGTAAAAAAAACTAATGAAAAGAGCTTGAAAACTTTGAGTTTTAACGATAAGGACAAAATAAAGGGTAAAGTGAATAGTATCAAGATTGACTTTTTAGTATAAAAATGTTATTTTTCGTTAAAGTAAACTAAATAGTATCGGGAGCTTTTCTTTAAAGTTTCCTTAATTGTATGGGTTTCAACCAAAAAAAAAAGTTTAATTGTATGGGTTATTGCTTTTAGTACTAAATCTTTTGTTGAGTTTTATTTTTGCTGACTTTTACAATATTAACACAGGCCACCTAATTAGGGCGGCTACTAACTAATCATGCAGCAGCTTGCTTAGGTAGCTTAGCGTTATACAAGAAGAAATTTTTCATTATGACAGTAACACAAATGGTACACTACGTATTTTTATAGAAGTAGTGAAAATTTTTATTTTTTAAGTGATTAACTTTTTAACATACATATCTTACCATTTGTATAATGACACGTAATGTACCACTTCTTATATGATCATATTAAAAAAATAAAAATAAAAACTAATGAAAAATGTTTGAAAACTTTGAATTTTAACGATAAA